CAAAATCAAAATTATGCAACTTCTGTTGTGCATGCTGTGCTAATGCTGTACCATTTTCGTTATTTTTTCTTAGGCTATACTTATGTTCGTATATTTTTTTCTTTAGATATTGTCCTGTTTGACCTATGTATGTGTTATCACAGTTCAAACAGTCTATTTTGTAAATTACATTAGGCGTGTCTAACTTGTCAATCCTAGGTTTAAATTTTGTGAAACATTCATTTGCTAAGGCGTTTTTAGTTTGTTCTGCTATGTTTTTCCTGTCGGCCTAATTAATTTTAGAATGTTTTAAAGTGTTGCAATTGTGATGTATTTTAATGTGTGATATGATGAGGCTGTTGACGAACTGTGATTGTTTTTTAAATTAATGAACTTTTTTTTTACTATGTTATTTTAGAAAAACTGATGATGGTGGAAAAATACACCGAAACGTATTTTAATTGATAAATAAAGACAATAAATGACTGAAACCCAGGAATTAATTTTGATTTATCATTAACAATATTTTAAAATGTTGATATCATCAACCATCTTGTAGCAATAAAAATGATCTTTGACCCAATCCCGAAGAAAATCGACAAGGAAATCAGGATGGGTACTGCTACAAAAGATAGCGGCAGCAACAGCAAGCGAAACACCCAGTCAAAACCTGGACCGTCCATGTTCTGGTCACCGAAAAGTTGTCATCCTCCTCTTCTCCACTCAGCAGACAAACATTTAATTGATTTGCAGATATTCATCCGATCCAAGAGCCACCCAGAACATCTGCAGGTGCACAAAAACACACGTGCCCATCTGGCATAACTGGACGAGCTCCTTTAGTGGCGGAATTATTTAAAAGGCAGTGAACAAAGCCCCACTGTGGTGCACCACCATAACTAACCATAAGATCCTTTCCAGAACTGAGTCGAGTGACCGCACAAGCAATGAAGTTTCAGACATTAAACGGAAAATCCAAAACGACATTGAAGTCCGATTGAAAACAGAGCAAGAGAGAAAAATTTGGGAAAACAAGTACGGGAAATCAGTAGGTCAAAAGTTGTTGAGCTTCATTGAAAAGCAACCCGAGCCCTATCAGGTTCCAGCGCCTAAACATGCTCTGCCAAGTAAGACCAGCGTTGAAAAATCTGAGTTATCTAAATGCAATGAGATTCGTCTTGTGTGTAGAATCGGTCAAAAAATCATCAACACCCCAACTAATGCTGGATCATTTGAAAAATTTGAAAGAGAAGAACGACTGCATCCAGACCAACATCCAAAAGGCCATTGCAGTAATCGAGAATAAAATGGTCGATATTTTAGGAAAGTAAGTTTTAAGATAACAAACTAATTGCTATTTTCACATATGAACAACCAGCCACCAATAAAGCGGTATTTTCGCATTTGGCATTTTAGACCTGCGACAAGTCAGAGCATTGAAGCCTTCGATGAAATGGAAAAGGAAATCAGCAGTGTTTTAAGCATGATGATAAAACCGCAAACCCCAGAAAACATTCGGCATAAAGAAAAGCGGCTGAAAGTGGACGAGTATGTGAACGATGTTGACAAAATTTCCGAAGAGGTACGCAAAAAGAACGCGATTTTGTTAACTCTGAGAATGTTTCGACGACAATTGACCATCGATAATCATGTTTGCAGCTTTTCAAAAAACTGGACAGAATTCTCGAATCATCAGGAACCACCAGTTCAGAGAGAAGCAGCAAAATCACCCTGGGCAGGAGACAGAATCGAAAAGCGCCTCTTCAACAAGACAAGTGCAAAAAAAGCAGCGACATGAATCAAGTTTGTTTCAGGTAGACTTCTATTAAAGGGTATTCAACCCGTTCAAATGTATTCCTTGCTAGTTCCACGTCAGCGACAGGAGAAGAAAAAATTACAGTCACAGCGATATCGCCAAAACGAGCGTCCAAAATCTCCATGTTGCCACCCTACCTCCGCAACTCCGAAGATCTAGTCAGTACCAATTGCGCAATGAAAAGGTTAACAACTGAACTGAAGCTGAACAGAGAACAACTAGACGAAACGACGCCGATCGATGAAGTTGAAGTTTTAACTCAAGACGCATCACGCAAGGGCACAATTGTTCCCATCAACGAGCAGGTAAGATTATAAATGAAAGGGATTTTGGAAATTTTTATAATTGCGTCTTTCACAGGTAGTAAATCTGGCCTTGATGAAGGAGTTCTCAGTCGGTGACCAATCGACAGAGACAAAGATTGAAGAGACTGATGCGGAAGAAACCGACTATTCCATGGGCGATGGAGGTTCCTTGAGTCAACCCAAACTGCAACAAACTAGACTGGCCCGAAAGCAATCGTCCGAAAAGACGAAAAACCAGGAAAACGGTGAGTAGTGCTGGTCCAGGATCGCGCTTTTCACAAATACAAAACGGTTGCCTCTACAGTTTGTGTACCACAACAGTTTGAAGTGTTATATCAGGAAGCAGTGTTGGTTGAAGATGTAAGAGATATTTCGGAACAGTTCTTTACGCCATGCACCTCGCCATTGAGCGGAAACCGCAAGATTGAACTTATGCAGACCACTCCGGTAAAGCTTAACAAGGAGAGTGGCCATCAGTCATCATTATCTTTCAGGTGAATGAAAAAGAGAGTGGCGATGTCGCTAGTCAACGTCCCCGTGAATACAGCATCGAGCAAGACCCTTTTTACCAGAATGTAAACAGAATTATGTCAAGGGTGGAAAGCGTCTACAACCAGCTAGAAGAATTCGATGAGGTAATTCGATTGCATTAATTGAAACCAACTGTTTCAATGATCTTTATTAAAAAAGGTGTCGCAACAGCGTCCCTCTAGTTCCCACGGCAAAGTGGTAATTTTTCAAGATCCGCCCAAAGTCGAAGAGCTAGAGGCGGACTCTTTCTTGACTCCGTTCATGCATGCAGTGAAAGATCTGCGAAAACTTACGCAGCCTGACGAATCGGGCCCACGCCAAGCAAACCAGTGCCCGCACAGGAGCCCGTCCTACTTTAACGTGCTGACATTCCTAGACACGTTGACTGATTTGAAGGAGGAACGTCCAATTGCCGTTCGCACTTCTAGGTAATGGGGTCCAATGATGCCTTATCCTCCTACTCAGTAATTCGACAGTGTCGCAAAATAAAATACATGTTTGGAAAACGAACGATAATGCTTATTTGCTCAAGAATCTTCTACTTAACCAGCCGTGAAGAAGCATAATGAATTCCTGAAACTGAAACCCTGATTCAGTTGTTGACTTCCAATTCCAGGCTTGAGATGACCGCTTTTCTTTGGCACATCCCCACAACCGTACACTTTACCGCACTTGAGCACCACTACACAACTGGAACCAACGAATCTGAGGATGTGCCCAAGAAAAAGTCTGGCTGCCTCAAAAACCCCTCAAGCCACCTGAACATGAGCACAAGTGTTTCAAAAAGTAGGCAGAAGGTGAGCTTCCTGTTGCAGAAAGAAGAAAAAGCCACGCAGGCGACCGTATGTCCTTTTCATGGTCCAAAGAGCGCACAGAAGATGAACAGTGGTAAGCGGACAACGAGTTATTCAAATAATGCCTATTAACTCTATACTCGTAGACAATTCAACACAATCAATCAAAGTCGACGAACAGGCCAGTGCCTATTCGGACGCTGTGGACAGCGAGAGCGCGGACAGAAGTTGCCTAAACGATGACGAAAGTACCTACCAGAGCACCTTCGAGATTAGCGATGAAATCTCGTTGAAAAAAAATCAGGTAAACTGTCAAAAAATTGGCACACGACATTATCGTTTTTGTCTTCAGCAAAAGTCGGAAACGTTTGATCACTGCCAAAATAACAATCAAGACAGCAAGAAAAACGTGGTGGAACTGTTCCGGAACACCGGTCCAGAAGAACAAAGCCCTGAAAAAGTTAAAGTGTTTTATGACAACTACCAAAAGAACCACCAATCTATCGAGACTAAAGTGAGTATTCAAAGCCCCGATTTCTTCTGTATTAGCACATTATTTCTGATACAGTTAAGCAGTGGCTTTTACAACGAAAATTGCCTAATACAAGTGGCTGAATCGCTCAGCAAGAACCTTTCGATCAAGAAGCGTAACAGTTTGCAAAAGGTATCGACTAAGACGGCCTTCTTGAAAGAATTGGCGTTGCTCGAGCCTCTAAAAAATCTAAACGAGTTTGTCGACTCACACTTACTGAAGAAGGCCATAGAGAAACGGCACACAACTGGCATTATGAACCAAAAGAACTTGTGCAGAATACAAAATCCCAAATTGTTAGCCAAACGCCTGGAAGATGAGAATGGGCGAGACAATAACGAGGGCCTCCTTAAAAGCATTTATGCATTTGTTTATCTAATAATGTTCACTGCATTAAATTTAGAGTATACATGTATATAATAAATGTTTAAAAAGTGTTTCAATTGCTAATCAAAATATACAAACGACAACCGCGATTTAGTACATCATTTCGTTACGCTAGATACTTACGTTCATGCCTTTCGACTCTTTGAGGAATGTGTAGGCCATACCCCCGCCAATAATCATCTCATTGACTTTATCCAGAAGATTGTCAATCAGCTGGATCTTGTCAGCTACTTTGGCACCGCCCAAAATAGCCAGGAATGGTCTGGAAATCGCAATCTCAAATATAATTTACATTGTAAACTTGCCGGACCCACTAATACCTCTCTGGATTGTCTAAGGCCTTAGCAAAGTAGGCCAGCTCTTTCTTGAGCAAAAATCCTGAAGCTCTTTGTTGAAACCCTGCAGCAAAAGAGCAATTTTGCAGACCAGGTACATTGGCACATTACAGACTATTAAATGTGTACCTTCGCCCAACATCGAGGAATGTGCTCTATGAGCAGTCCCAAATGCATCATTCACGTACAGATCAGCTAGCTTTCTAAGGCTGGCTCTGAAATTCTTTACCTTTTCTGGATCGGCTTTCGCTTTATTTCCAGCGGCATCCACCCCTTTTCCTGTTGAATAAATATTATTACTTATTCAGATACAGGACATGAAAAACAATGACCTTCTTCTTCGATGTGATATCGCAAGTTTTCCAACAAAATTACTGATCCAGGTGCCGGATTTTCACAGGCTTTTTCAACCTCAGGACCAACGCAGTCCGGCAGAAACTGGATTTCTCTAAACGAAATGCGAAATTGAGTAAACTGAAACAATTCACTGAGCATCTCTTTAATTTAGTGTTTACCTGCTAAGTAGCTTCTTTAGCTCTTCAGCGACGGGGGCAAGAGTATATTTGGGATTTGGGGTGCCATCAGGACGGCCTAAATGCGAACAGAGCACTACGCTCTTTGCATTTTTTTCCAGAGCGTACTTTACTGTGTCCAAGGCGGCTACAATGCGCTGGTTGTTGGTGATTTTGCCATCTTTTAAAGGCACATTGAAGTCCACTCTAATCAAAATGATTTCCATCAGGCAAAGTAAAAAGACAGTCCCAAAAAATTCGGGGTTACAAGCGGACTTGTTGGAAAAGCCCAATTAAAATTAAGCACAAGCAAACCGTTTTACCTGATAAGAACTCTTTGGCCTGCAAGATCCAAAGAGTCGATTGCTAATTTGTTAAAGGCCATTTTCGATAAATTTCGCACTAAAATTTGAGATTTTAGCCGGTATGTGACAACTCGTAAGCAATTACAGATGGGCAATGTCATGTGAAGGTCGTCTTCTAAAAATTGACTGGTAAATTGTAAGTGTAAAAAACTATTTTTATGTAGTAAATTGAGAAAAATATATTTCTTTGGAAATGCTTTTGGCCCATAAGTTGGTTTCCTAACTGGAAATCAGGAAAAAGTTTGAATGCAGGTTGATATCTTTCTTTAGACAGCTTAAAGTTTACAATCACGTCGCAAGATGTCATCCAAAGATTCAATATTTAAACGATTTTTTTTCAAGTTCCAATAAAGCAGTGGCGGATCCAGCTTTAAAGCC